GTTTAGCAGGCTGAGGCAAAGAGGCAATCCTGAAACCAGCAAAATCAGGGAGCTGGACAGGGGACAGATTGTATTTGTCTTCAGTGTGGGATTGTCACTCTTGAATTGGCCTTCTCAGTCACACTAGACGTTGTTCCAAGACCTCTATTCAGAGCACATTACCATAGTCTATCGAAACTGAAAGATTCCTATATATAGGCCGATCTGTTCCTAGCATGAAGAAGACACGGCATTTAAAAAATTGGTAACCACAGTTCAGCATTGCATATATTTTTCAGTGCACAAGGATTCAAGCCCACAGTTAGCTTATGAACAGAGTAGGGTGCCCTCCCCAATTTGGAGTGAAGAACTGCCCCATTCAGTTCTTGAACCATCTGTGGTCAAATTCCTATACATAAGCCGATCTGTTCCTAGCATGAAGAAGACACGGCATTTAAAAAATTGGTAACCACAGTTCAGCATTGCATATATTTTTCAGTGCACAAGGATTCAAGCCCACAGTTAGCTTATGAACAGAGTAGGGTGCCCTCCCCAATTTGGAGTGAAGAACTGCCCCATTCAGTTCTTGAACCATCTGTGGTCAAATGCCCACTTTTAAGAATTAAACTCAAACACACATTTTAAAGAATTAAACACTCAAGGTATCTCTAATTGGTGAGGTAGATTTGTCAAAATTGTCAGTTTCACTTTTCCTCATACAGTATTCTTTTTTTTAAATGCAGCTTTTTTTTCCCCTCTCAAATTTATGAAGAAAATTTGTAAAGCTGCTGTAAAAACCTGAACGAAACAAAATTCTGAAGTGTCCCTTCTGTTCTGCCCTTACTCTGTTCTAACATAAGATCCTATCATTGTGGCACAGACAAGCTTGCTAGCATGACTACCACTCAGCTCAGGTGTGTGACCATAGATTCAAATCCTCATTTAAGCACTGAAGTCCTCATTGAAGCAATTTTTCTCTTGAGGAAGTCAGTAATACTCATCCAAATCTACACCACAAGGTTGCTGTCAGGATAAAAGGCTGTTCTGCCTTCCTCAGAGGAAGGAAGGGACACAAGATGAATAAAATAAGACAGTAATCTGAGAAACATTTCAATGTCAAAGTCAGTGGCAGAAAAGGTGTATATAGTGTATAATAAATCCAAAGAAAGAGCCTTAGAAACACTGTTTCTAAGGCTCAAGACAATATATTTAAGTACCCTTGTTAACCTTTATTGAGGGAAAAGCAGAGAACTGATTCTTTAAATAGGCTTAAGTCCACAATTTAAGAAGGCAAGCAATTAACCTGTAAGGGAGGGCACAATGAATATTGAAGAAGAATTAGTGTCTCTTTTATACTATTCCTTGTATAAAGAGAATGGGCTGGAAAAGCTGGATATTTCTACAGTATATCCAGAGGAGTAAGAGAAAAGTTTGTGTTGAGACACGATTGCTCATTACAAAAATTTGGGGGACCTTTACAATTTTTTGTTATTAAAAAAATGTAGTGCTATATCAAAGCAAGCTCTTGGTTTTGAGAGAAGATCACCTTGATCTAAAACTGATACATGCAGCCATTTAGATCAAGTCCAAAAGAATGCTGACCTGATTCAGAAATAAATGCTTTCTGATTAAACTATGCATAAACACAGACAGTGGATATGTGTGATGTAGATTATTCATCTATGCCTCTGTCCTCTTCTGAGTTCATCTCTGTGGGGGGTGGAGTGGGAAGGGGTAAACATTTCGTCAGGAAAGTAAAATGATAGAGGGGCAATCGTATTGCTAGGCACTGCCAGATACGTTCAGAGTTAAAGATGTAATGCAATCGTCCCTCCACTGGAGATGAAATGGGTGGAGAGGGATCAGATGGGGACAGTTGAGAAGAAAAGGGAATGTAAGCAGCAGTTTCTATCAAACCATACTTTGCTATTTTATGGAGATGAAATGAAGGGCTTCTCTCCTTCAGTGGTAAAACATATTAGTTTTGAAGGCAAAGGTGAGTGAAATCTTTATTATTAATAATTGTGTGCCATCAAGTCAATTCTGATGTATGACAACTCTTTCCAGGGTCTTCTAGGTAGAGAATACTCAGAAGTGGTCTTATCATTCCCTTCTTCTGGGGGCACCCTAGGACTGTGCCGCTTGCCCAAGGCCACACAGGCTGGCTCTTCTCCCAGAAGGCATAGTGAGCAATCCAGCCAGCTGATCACTAAAAAAGTCACAAACATGGGCTTGCTTTCAACCTTGTGCAGGCTGGGCAAAACAGAACTATGGATGGTGCAGAAAAAATATAAACATTTTCAAAATCATGGCCAGATGTGCATATGCCAGGTTCCTTTATTTAAAATATTTTGAAAATGGGACCTGCAGACTCAATTTAAATGTGTAGTTTTCAGATTTTAACTCTAGTGGCAGTGGGGAATGCTAAATGACTGGCAATCGTTTCTCTAACAAGGTTGGGAAAGACATTCTGAAAACAACCACCACCAGAGGTGGAATCTGCAACCTACACTTCTGAACTGAGTCTGCAGATCCTTTCTGTGTGATTCTGGTAGTCCAATGCAGTAACTTTTCCAAGTGTTGTTTTGGATTAGATGGGCTTTCATTCCATTAAACAGAGGACTATCTTCTGCAATTTCTGCTCAAGTTGCACAAATCAATCTCGGACCAGTTTGTCAGCGAGAGAGACTGTTTGGGAATCCTGTGTGTACACTTCATGGTGTTTCCCCCATGTAAGAAAGGCTGAATATAAAAAGAGACAAATTAAACAAGCTTGTTCAGTACTGCTGAGAAAATAAATGTGAAATGGTTACAGTATTTTGAAAAAAATGCATATAAAAATAATAAAGTATTTGTCATGGTCTTACTGTGATTGATTGAGCAACAAGCAACTTGACTACCGAGATATAGGAGCAGCTTGCTGAAATCCTGGTTGGGAATACTGTCCTAGATACACCTATTTCCAGATGGGGTAGCCATGTTGTCTGAGTAACGTAAAGTAAAAATAGCAGAGCCTTGTGGCAGCTTGAAGACCAACTGCTTTATTATAACATATAGGTATATAATGAATGCATGTTTCTCCTAGGATTTCTCACATTCACACAACTAGCATCCTTCTTTGTAGGCATCGCAAGCCTTAAGCCCAAGCTAGTCCTGTGGAAGTCTATTCTTCTAAAGTCCATGTTTCAGGCCCACCCCTCCCCTCCATTCCTTCTGGATTTGTCCATAGATTCCACACTGCCACAAGGAGACTTAAGTTTTGTCTACTGTACTGGTGAATTATGAACTCCTGCAGTTTTTCTGGACAGCCCTTCAAACAGAGGGGAAATGCCTTCAAGTCAACAGCTGTTCCTTCACCATCAGTTTCCTGGCAGAACCCCTGAGCTTTTGGTAGCAGTGATAGGAGCTATGCCAGCAGTGACCCAGAGAGGTCTGCAGCAACAGTTGGCAGGAGCTCCACGCAGACTACAAGCCGAGTGTTGCTGAACTCTGGATGAAGGCCATGTCTACTGAATCAGCCATCAGTTGCAGCTATTAACCCACCCACCCATCCTTGCTGTCTTTTGAGGTTCTCATGATGTTCTTGTTTTCTTCGCATTCTCTTGTGCAGTCTTCTTTGCATTGGGAACAAGGTTTCTTGTTATTCATTAGCAAGTTGAAATGTGTGCATTACTGCCTGTGAATCTATGAAAAATAAGAAAAACAGGAGCTTGAGATATTTCTGTCAAATTATGGAAGTAATGTTGAATTATACGAGACATGAAAAAGGAAGGAAGAAAATATTAAGTGTCTGGTAGATTTGGATGTACACAGAATGGTTAAATCCCAACTAGAGTACAGTGGTGCCTTGCAATGATTACCTTGTTAAACAACAAATCTGCTTGACGATGAGGTTTTTGCGATGGCTTTTGCGATCGCAAAACGATGTTTTAATGGCCAAAATTCACTTCTCGACGATCAGTTCCCTGCTTCGGGAACCGATTCTTCGCATTACGAAGATCAAAACAGCTGATTGTCGGGTTTCGAAATGGCCACCCGCTGTGTAAAATGGCTCCCTGCTGTGCTTTGGGACGGATTTTTCGCTGCACAAGCATTGGAAAATGGCCGCCCTATAGAGGATCTTCGCTGGATGCTGAGATATTTAGCCCATTGGAACGCATTGAGCGGTTTTTAATGCATTTCAATGGGCTTTTTTATTTTGCTTGATGAGGATTTCGCTCTACAGTGATTTCGCTGGAACGGATTATCCTCGTCAAGCGAGGCTCCACTGTACATCCCTTGAACTAAATGTTGAATGATACATTGACACTTATGTGGCTATATGTTCACTGTTCATTGTTATTTAATGTATCTCCTATTTAGTTAGGACTATCAATTGCATTTGAGGCTCCCAGTGTGGACAGAGAAAGGGAGGAAGTCAGACCTCAGCTATATGAATTAAGAAGATGATGATGATTAAAGTGGCAGTTATATTTGTGGAGAGTTGCAATCCTATATTGTAAGGTATAACCACAACATTGGCAAAGAGGATCTAGCCTGTAACTTCCTTCTCTTTCCTCTGAATGTTCCACATGATGAACGGGGGCTCACGCTGGAGTAGTACTCTCTTACTTTTGTAGGTGCCAGGCAGAGGTCAGAGATGTTCTGGTTTCAAACTAGAACTTCCAGAACCTACCAGGCAGGCTGGTAATTGGAGGATTCTGGGAGATGTAGTGTAGCATCTAAATAGAAAGTTTTGATATCCCACTTCTGAATAAAAAAAGCTCTTCAAGTGTAGCATCTGAATAGGGAGAAAGTTTTGATATCCCACTTCTGAATAAAAACCCCTCTCTCCCATGTGAACAACAGTGCAGTCAAAGCCTGTCCTCAGCTATTTACATTCGTGCAAAGTAAGCAAAGGGGGTTACTTTTTGGACTCTCTGAAGCCTCTGTTGGACTGTGTTGTAGTCTTCAAATGTCAGTATTGATACATGTGGAAATTTGGCTTCAGTTGCAGCTGTGTGTTTCATTTTTCTTGTTTCTTTTCCTTTTTTTTAACAGGGCAGAGCATTTTTGACACAGGCTTTTGTCATGCAACCTCACTCTCTCATTTCAAAAGGCCTCTTCTTTCACTTCCTCATTTGAACAAGGGAGGGGTAGGCTGAGAAAAGCTGTTTTGTTAGGGAACAGAGAAGTATTCAGTAAGAAGGAGATTGCTGAAGCCTTGCAGAGAATTCACAGGCCATAGATCAAGGCCGAGCGGCCCACTAGAAAACCAAACCACGAGCATTGCAGAGTTTGCTCTTGTGCTGGAGGAATGTCTCTTCCCAGGCAGCTACGAGGAGAGAGGTGAGTTCTTCAGACACTGTTTCTTGCATGCATTCCTCCTTGCCTCCCTCTTCAAGTCTCCTTGAAGAGCTTGATGGATTTCTTAAGGGGATCTGGATCTGGCTGCCTTAAGAGCATGAATGTAACGTGACTGTTCAGGCTACTTGCATCATTTCAGCTCTCCTTTCCTCTCTAACTCTCACAGGGCTGGCCGAAGGCTTGGTGCTGCCTATGGTGGACTGACCAATGCCCCCCTCCTCCCAAATGTACAGTACATGATACTGCACAAAAGACAGCAGCGCAGGTGCCAAATAGACTTCCTTGGGAAGAAATCTCAGAAGAAATTTCTTCCTTTTCATACATCTTTCCAAAGAAACAAAGAGGCAGGAACCCTGTACCCTATTCTGGAAGTAAATAGTGGTTAAAAAAAAAGAGTAACTTTTCCAAGATCTGTTATTAGTTTTCCTTAGGCAAATCAAAACACTGACCAGATAAGGCAAGTGTTAAAATATTTAATACAGTGGACCCTTGACTTACAGACGGCTTGACTTACAGACTTTTTGACTTGAGAACCGCCTTCCAATACAGATTAAGTTCTCAAGTCAAGACCCCACTGTAAAGGTAAAGGTTCCCCTTGACAATTATTTGTCCAGTCGTGTGCGACTCTAGGGGGCGGTGCTCTTCCCCGTTTCCAAGCCATAGAGCCAGCGGTTTGTCTGAAGACAATCTTCTGTGGTCACATGGCCAGTGCGACTTAGACACGGAACGCTGTTACTTTCCCACCAAGGTGGTCCCTATTTATCTACTTGCATTCGCATGCTTTCGAACCGCTAGGTTGGCGGGAGCTGGGACAAGCGACTGGCCCTCACTCCGTCACGTGGATTCGATCTTATGACTGCTGGTCTTCTCAACCTGCAACACAGGCTTCTGCGGTTTAACCCGCAGCGCCACCACGTCCCACTGTATTTAATAGTGGAAATTTAATAATGAGAAATAGCATGCACGTGTGCAATAGGAGCAAATATTTAACCCACTGTTTGTGCTGTGCTAATAATCACTAATAGATCCCATCTCTTGACATAAGTATGCAGTGCATTTTGCTTGGCCAACAGGACTTGCACTTTTTGGTAGCATTTCCACTTTGCATTACTTTGACTTGCTTTTGGCTATGGGGTCACTGATATTAGTCCTTTAGGGTTATTGTTGGACATGGCCAAACAATATCACTGATGATACACAGAGTGAGATATGAAGTGGGAGTGAACACGAATCCTTTTGCATACCTTCTGATCACACTGGTAAAGACTACAACTGTAATGCAATTTGTAAATTGTCTTTTAAAAAATATTTTTCCCACCAGTAAGCTTTGCGTTATAGTGATAAATTGATGCAGCACTAATTCAAATATCCTGTTAGTTCAGTGCACTTTCACTTACTAAACATTAAAAAGGGGATTCGATTACTGCTGGAAGGAGGGGGTAAAAGTAGGTGGTGGTGAAGAGTGAGGGAAAAGGGAGGCTGTGTGATTTCAGGGACAGTTGAAACACATCTTCCCGGGATAACAGCATTTATGTGTGAATGACATAAGAGTTTTAAATTCTAGAGCGCAATATAGGGACGTTTGCACCAACCCAGGACAAATGTCTGCATGGTGATGCCTTCAGTAGTACATTCTATTGATTTCAAGGAAATGTACTCTTAGGTGTGTTAAAGGGTGAGTGGGTAATTTCTCAGAGGTGGGAAACATATTCGTCGTCTTTGGAAACCTTCAGGACCTACACCTCCCTCATCCCCAGGGCCAGTTGCCACAGCTTCCATTGCTCAGCAGCAATGGTGGCAGCTCTATGGTGTCCTCCTGCAACACGGAGCTTTATAACAATGTGGGACAGAGTGTCTGATCAATTTCAAGTAGCGGTCAGATCAGAACTGTTTGGGAAGAGTGGAGAGGAGGCAGGGCATATCAACGGCCTCCTTCCTGGAGATATTATGAGGAGAGGAGGCAAGTGCGCCATAAGAAGAGCTCTGCTTTGGCCCTTCTGTCCCTCCAGAAGGGACTGAGAGGAGATGAAGCAAACAGGCAGGGTGTCACAGAGCCTTGGGAAAATGGCACAGGCCACAACAACAGCAATTTCTGTAGTGGTGGGAAGGAAGAGAAACCTCCCCTATAAATGACATCAGACTATGCTCGACCCCTGCACTACACCAAAACCTGTGCATTGGCTTTTATAGTGCCTTGATGTTAACAGTATTCTTGATCTCCCATACAAATCTCTTCCCAAATCCATGACCTCATGATCTTCCCATCCTAATAAGGACCATTGCCTTCAGTAATACTGTATTCTCATAACTTGCCTTTCAGTGATTTTGACCAGCTTCCAGATGATGTACCAGTTTCTGCTAATATTGCAGATATTGAAGAAAAAAGAGGCTTCTCAAGTTACTTTGTAAGAAAAGGACTTTTTCTAAGGGATATTGATCTGATCCATGTTATTGGGGGGTTGGGGACGCTAGGAAGGTAGAAATGCAGGATCTGTTTTGCTTTATTGACAAACAGCATTTATCTATTATTTCACAAAAGAGATATTTCACTTGGGTAATGGCTTCTTTCACAGTGCTAGCTTTCACAATCAATGTTGAAATATGCAATGAATGATTGTCAATACTGCAATTTTGGTTTATTGCTTTGGGTTAAATGTGTAGTAGATCGTTCTTTTTAAATCTAAAGTAAAAGATCCAATCTGAACAGGACTAGAACGCATGGATGGGAGAGGCTTAAACCCTCTCTGCATCTCCTTTATTTATGCCCTGGCCCATGCATAAGAGTTAAAAGAGGGGATCCTCTATTGATAGCAAAGTAATTATTTCATTATTGTCCTCATGGAGGCCACCCAGAATGTTTGTTACTTACTTACTTACTTACTTACCCTCATGGAGCCAGAATGTTTGTTACTTACTTACTTACTTACTTACTTACTTACTTACTTACTTACTTACTTACTTACTAACTAACTAACTAACTAACTAACTAACTAACTAACTAACTAAACTAA